TGCAATTTATCTGTTCTGGACACAGGTATTGCTTGCCCATACCGAGACCTGCTCCTCCAACACCCCAACATAATCAAACCCCAGTTTCGCAGTGGTGAGATCCAGCATGACGTTGTCCATCACATTCGCACCTCTGGCCCCCCAGTATTCGCACGGCCTAGACGACTGGCTCCGTCCCGGCTGCAAGCGGCGAAGGCCGAATTTGAGCACATGCTGCAACTGGGCATAATTCGGCCGTCCGAGAGTCCATGGGCGTCCCCTCTGCATATGGTGCCCAAGGCGACATCAGACGACTAGCGGCCCTGTGGAGACTATCGTGCCCTCAACAATGCGACTATCCCGGATCGTTATCCCGTCCCTCATCTTCAAGATTTTGCTGGAGCTCTTTTCGGCAAATCGGTTTTCTCGAAGATTGACCTTGTTCGGGTCTTCCATCAGATTCCTGTCGCTCCTGAGGATGTTCCTAAAACTGCCGTCACCACACCATTCGGTCTGTTCGAATTTATTCGCATGCCATTTGGTCTTCGCAATGCTGCCCAAACATTTCAGAGGTTCATTGACCGAGTCCTACGTGGTCTCCCGTTTGTGTACGCCTACATCGATGACCTCTTGGTAGCCAGTCGAAATGCCGAGGAACACAAAGAGCATCTTGCCTTAGTGTTTGACCGCCTCGATCAGTTTGGCGTGGTCATTAACCTTTCCAAGTGTGTTCTGGGTGTGCCGTCCCTTGATTTTCTTGGTCACCATGTCGATGCAAAAGGTTGGCGTCCCCTCTCTTCCAAGGTTGAGGCCATTTGTGACTTTCCTCCATCAACCTCCAAGCGTCAGTTGCAACGTTTCCTTGGCATGGTAAACTTTTATCGCCGGTTCCTACCGAACTGTGCCGACCTTATGCTGCCACTCACCAACTTGCTCTCTGGTCCCAAGGGTCCCCTTGAGTTACGTGGCCACGCGCTGACTGCTTTTGAGAGAATAAAGACCTCCCTTGCTGATGCTACCTTGCTCACTCATCCTGCTCCAGAAGCCCCATTGTCCCTGATGGTTGATGCTTCGAAAATTGCCGTAGGAGCAGTCCTCCAACAGCATATCAACGACTCGACACGACCGCTGGCATTCTTCTCCAAGAAGCTTTCACCTGCCGAGACGAGATATAACACGTTTGGACGTGAACTTCTTGCCATTTACCTAGCCGTAAAACATTTCCGACACTTCCTTGAGGGTCGTGACTTCACAATTTTCACAGACCACAAACCACTTACATTTGCCATCCGATCCCATTCTGACAAATATAACCCGAGAGAGATTTCTCATTTGGATTACATCTCGCAATTCACCACCGACATCCGCCACATTGATGGCCCGAAGAATGCGGTGGTCGACATGCTGTCCAGACCTTCCCTCTCTGCGTTTCACCTCTCACACGGGATTGATCTTGGTGCTATGGCGGCTGAACAACGACGTGTTGGATGCCCTGGCGACGAGTCTGTTGACAGTCTTCAATTAGTTGACGTCCCACTGACCACCGGCAATGGCACAATCCTTTGTGACGTATCGACTCCTTTTCATCGCCCTTATGTGCCTGCCTCGATGCGTCGAACTGTATTTCAAACTCTCCACGAACTCTCTCATCCTGAGATTTGAGCCTCACAGAAGCTCCTCGCGGAAAGGTTCGTATGGCCTGGGTTGAACAAGGATGTGAAAGCTTGGACACGATCGTGCCTTTGCTGTCAACGTAACAAGGTTCAACGCCACAACAAGTCTCCATCGGGCACGTTCCCTAGTCCCGATGCAAAGTTCAACCATGTGCGTTTAGATGTCGTAGGTCATTTACCTCCATCCAGTGGCTATACTCACCTTCTCACCCGCGTTGATCGCTATGCTCGTTGGCCGGAAGCCATTCCTTTACCGAATGTGCAAGCTGAGACCATTGTGAAAGCCTTCGTCAGTCGTTAGGTCGCCATATTCGATGCGCCATCCATGATTACGACTGATCGAGGCGCGCAGTTTGAGTCCACACTTTTCCAAACTCTCCTCAACTTCCTTGGCTGCACACGTATCCGGACGACGGGCTACCACCCAGCTGCCCACGGCCTGGTTGAGCGTTTCCACCGCCAGCTAAAAACTGCACTGCGTGCCGCAGAAGATCCCGAAAACTGGTCAGACAATGTACCCGTTGCACTTCTTGGCATTCGTGCGGCACTGAAGTCAGACTTGGACTGCACCGCAGCCGAATTAGCTTTCGGCACTACCCTCCGACTTTCTGGTGAGATGGTCACCCCAACCTCTCGTCTGCGACAATTCATGCGCTCGCTTTCCCCGGTTCAACCTCGAGCTCCATCGACCGAGCCTTATGTTGAAAAAGGCTTAGCCAACTGCACCCATGTGTTCGTTCGGTGTGATCGTGTGCGGAAGCCGTTAGAATCACCTTACGAAGGACCGTTGCGTGTGCTTGCACGTAACAGCAAGACCTTCCGGATCCTTTGCAGTGACAAGGAGGACGTGGTCAGCATCGAACGGGTCAAGGCTGCTGTTGCAGAGGAGCCCCCGGACGTGTCTCAAGGAAAAGCATGTGCTGACCCTATACCTCCTCCCACTCCTTTTCCACTTTCCCCACCTATACCTCCGTCCCGTATACTTCCTCTTCCTTCTGGTTCGCAGCATCAAACTGCAACCTCTTCCTCCACCCTTAACTTGTCCACTAAAACCCCCACTCAGCTGCCTCCAACAGTGCCTCCCGCATATATCACCCGCAGTGGACGTAACGATCACTTTCTCGATCGTCAAGTTACTCATTTCTCCTAGAACTTTGTATGTCCTTCAGCGCCGTTCACGCCGCCCTCCGGTCTCGGAGGGGGGTACTGTGTTTAAGTACTTGACTACTTGACCTTCGACAAACATGTCACGTTTGTTTTACTGTAGCATTTGTTTTAACGTGAAGAGGACTCCGCCGCTTGTAAGCTTCGCGCAGCTTGCATGCTCTCTGGTCAGGCAATTGAACATTTTGTCAGTTTATTAAGGGAATGAGGCTTTCGCCCTTTAGCTCCCTATTCATATCGATAAACAGAAATAAAGTCATCAATTACATCAGCAAATGCGAAAAGTTAAGAATTTAGCGGTAAGTCTGAGCTAGGCGCAAACTGCCGCCGCTAAAACAATCATTATTATATGTACAGTAGGTTCTCAACAAATTAGCGTGTAGTCTGCACTTAAAGGATTTGATACTTTCGGAAAGAACCACTACATCAGGGAGTCCGTTCCATGCCCCAAGGACCCTGTGAGAGAAGGCGTTCCGTCGGACGTCCGAATGAGACCGCTTCCTTTACAGTTTGAAGGGATGACCACGCAGGCAATCAGTCCGGGCCAATTCGAAGAATTCATTAAAGTCTAGGGCACACTCACGACCTCTGACAATCCTGTAGGTTTGAATGAGATCGTCGCGCAGTTGCCTGTAATTTAGAGGAAACAG